GCACCAGTTTGTTACAGTCTGCACCAGTTTGTTACAGTCTGCACCAGTTTGTTACAGTCTGCGCCAGTTTGTTACAGTCTGCGCCAGTTTGTGGCAGTCTGCACCAGTTTGTTAGTCTGCACGTTTGTTAGTCTGCACCAGTTTGTTACAGTCTGCACCAGTTTGTTACAGTCCGCACCAGTTTGTTACAGTCCGCACCAGTTTGTTACAGTCCGCACCAGTTTGTTACAATCCGCACCAGTTTGTTACAGTCTGCACCAGTTTGTTACAGTCTGCACCAGTTTGTTACAGTCTGCACCAGTTAAGTCTGCACCAGTTTGTTCCAGTCTGCACCAGTTTGTTACAGTCTGTACCAGTTTGTTACAGTCTGCACCAGTTTGTTACAGTCTGCACCAGTTAAGTCTGCACCAGTTTGTTCCAGTCTGCACCAGTTTGTTCCAGTCTGCACCAGTTTGTTACAGTCTGTACCAGTTTGTTACAGTCTGCACCAGTTTGTTACAGTCTGCACCAGTTAAGTCTGCACCAGTTTGTTACAGTCTGCACCGGTTTGTTCCAGTCTGCACCAGTTTGTTCCAGTCTGCACCAGTTTGTTCCAGTCTGCATGTTATGTTGGTTTTTAATCTGTACTGTGGAGGAGGAACACCATTTGAGAACTTTGAACTGTTTCTAACCAATTAAAGAACAAACCAACTAAGTTTAGGTTTTCACTCAAAGATCAGATCTCACCTGTTGCTGTTTTGTCTGTCGCCTTCTGATTTTCTTCAACGTGCACGTCCTGCTTCTGACTGTCTGATGCCTCCACCTTCTTGCTCTGGGTAGGACCATGGCTAACAGGACCACTCTCTTTCTCCACTTCCTGCTCCTGACTGTGTGATGCCTCCACCTTCTTGCTCTGGACCACATCATGACCAACAGGACCACTCTCTTTCTCCACTTCCTGTTCATGACTGTCTGATGCCTCCATCTTCTCGTTCCGAGTCAGGCTGTGGAGAACAGGACCGCTCTCTTTCTCATCCTCACTTTTAGTTGTCACTACACTTGCTGCCAGACCGTCTGAACTGGAATCAGCTGCAGGTGCTTGGGCAGATGTCAGAAGAGGTTCAGTGTTGGAGGTGGAGTCTAGAGAAGCAGCCAGGAGAGTCCCTAAGGAGAAACAAGAGTTCAAACAGAAAAATGGACCAAAAATATTGACAAGTGTTTTGTCTGTATAAGAGTGCACCAAAGTTGGTGTATGAGACTTTACCCGTTCTAGATTTGATGCGATACTTGTCTCAGGTTTAACGTACGAGACAGTACCTGGCTTTGGTTTAATCAATGGTTCTCCAACTTTTTTGTCTGGCCACATAAAGGCAAAAACATAAACCTTCTTATAGATGGAACATTTATGGACGTCGGTGTGACTGAAAGTACTTGATCGTAAAATAACTGCAAGATTGGTAATAATAAAGGCAAACAAGTTCAACAGAATCGATGCAAAAATTTAAAATGTTTTACATTAATGATCAATAAATGAATTCATTTGTCACCGTACATTTATGAACAATATAAACCAGCTTAGCACAAACAAACAGCAAAACCCTTATTTTGCTATAATCTCACATAAAGGTGAAATCTGCAGATATTTATGATAAACTACAAACATGAGAAACGTTCACAGAGAGAACATTGTGAGTTCTGCAGAAAACATCAACAGTCGAACGGAGACACACCTTTGCTACAATCTTGGACATATCGTAGTTCTGCCTGCTACATGTTCCAGCCGCAGCGAAGAGGTAAAAAGTAAATAAATACAACGACCTGCCATGATGTTTCCTCCCTGTACGGCTCCAGGTCCCCCCAGGGGGGCACACCTAACAGTGAGAACTACTGGTTAAGGTAAAAGCCAGTACTTGTCTCAGATCGTACCTTTCTCAGGATCTGCGTCACTTCCAGGTGCTTCTGACAGATTTGGTGCTTCACTTGGAACACAGTGATCTTGTGAGGCAAGCAGAGAGGAGTCTGTGTTCCTGAGGTCCTGCTCAGGTCTTGAACCTGGTTCCTCAACGGTCAGGATGCTGACAGGTTCAGACTCCAAGATCTTCTCATTTGACAGCTCTTGGGTCACCGTGCTCTCCACAGGTTTGTCCTGCAGGGAGAGGGCAGGAGATCAATTAAATAAATTATTCATATGTTCTTTTGCATGGGCGGGGCATGGTGGCTCAGTTGGTAGAGCTGCTGCCTCTCAGCGAGAAGGTCGCAGGTTCAAATCCAGGCCAAGAGGACTTTCTGGGTGGAGTTTGCATGTTCTCTCCGTGCATGCGTGGGTTTTCTCCGGGTATTCCTGTTTCCTCCCACAGACTAAAAACATGCATATTACCGTATTTTTCGGCCTATAAGTCACGTTTTTCCTGCATAATTTACATGCCCTGAGACTTATAGGCCTAAGTAACGTATTTATGGATTTTCCCCATATTTATAAACCAATTTTGGCTGAGACATGACCGTTTTCATTCATTCTGACTGAAAAAACTAACTGAACAGTACCATTTTTCAGCCACTAGATGGCAGCAGAGTAGTAGTAGCTATAAGGCATGCTGTTGTATCATGTAATAGCTAAACGAGGCTATAATGACAAATTCAAAAAAGTTCAAGACAAAAACAACTGGACTTTATTTATTACACTTTATACTTTATTTGAATTTACCATGTCCTGAATGACAGAATCTTCACCAGCTATTAATGACACAATCAGCTTGCCACAGCTTGTCAGCTTCGTTCTGCTCGCTGCTTGGAGCAACCATCAAACCAGCTTCATTTCCGCTGTCCCGGTGAAACGCAGCTGATTTGACCATTAAAGTGCATTTATTAAGTATAAGTTCAACTGAGACACACCTTTACTATAATGTCGAGCAAACAAACAATTGTTTTAGGTGGTTATCTTGTTAAATTTTGAAGAAATGCAGAGGCTCGTCCCTCTGTGCGTGCCCGCCGCTTCCGCAAATCGGGTTTTGAAACGCAGATGATCTGACCATCAAAGTGCATTTATTAAGGAAAAGTTAAGACTATGATTTTGAGCAAACGATTGTTTTAAGTGTTAATCTTGTTAAAAGTCCTCCCGTGCACGCTCCATTTGGCAGCCAATCAATTTTTGACACAACACCTGCCCACATTTCCAGGCTGTCAGAGGTGACGCGTAATAAAAGCGACGTATTTATGTTTTTTTCCACTTTTTGAGACATATTTGGACTGATGAGACTTACAGGGCGGTGCAACAGAGGAAAATACTGTAGACTGTCTGGTAACTCTAAATTGTCCCTAGGTGAGAGAGTGAATGGTTGTTTGTCTCATTTGTCTCTATGTGTCCCTGTGATGGACTGGAGACCTGCCCAGGTGTCCCCCGCCCCTCGCACAGTGACGGCTGGACATGGGCACCAGTGACCCGAAAAGGAAGAAGCAGATAAATATAATGACGGATGTTGTTTCTTTTGTTTGCAGAGGGAAGAAGTTTGACTTTTAAAAACTGAATTGTACCTCAGGAACGTCCTGTTGAGCAGGTTTTGGAGAGACGCTCGGGTCCTGTGATGTCTCCTCGTGGACAGTAGGTGACAAAAAGCAAGGATGCTCAGCCACATCTCCGACTTCATCAACCGTCACAAAGTCGCTCATGTTGAAGGGGAAGTCCTCCTCATCCTCCTGATGGAATGATGAAAGCACATTTTCTGCCGTGAGCCTGGATTCTCCGGGTTTCACGGCAGCTGATGCAACGTTTGCTCACCGTTCTGTTCTTCGTCTCCACGCCGGACCGCTCGTCCCTCCGAGAACTCTGCCGGTACCTGTCCAACCTCGACCTAGGCTGATGCTCACCATAGCCTCTCTTCCTGTCCCTTCTCTCTCTTTCCTCCTCCCTTCTCTCTCTTTCTCTCCTTTCCTCCTCCCTTCTCTCTCTTTCTCTCCTTTCCTCCTCCCTTCTCTCTCTTTCTTCATCTCTTCTCTCCCTTATCCTCTTGGCTCTCTCAGCCCGCTCCTTCTCTCTCCTGGCATTCTCTTTCTCCCTCTCTTCTTTCTCTCCCTCTTCTTTCTCCTTTCTCTCCGCCTCCTGTTTATTCACCACCTCCTGTTTTTCTGTGGCACCCTTGGACAAGACTTTTTTCTTGATTGCTGCTTTTCCTTTTTGCTTTGGCTGCTGTTGTGTTTTCTTCTGCTCTTTGTCGAGAGCAGCTGCAGGCTTGTCGGACTGTTGCTGCTTGCTGGCACTTCTGGTGGCTCTGCACTCCTCCAGCAGCGTGTCCACCATAGCTTGAGTGATCTGCTCCAACAGGAATCAACAGAATCAAGTTCAAACTCCTTCGTATCTGTCGATGAGCTTTACCTTTAACATTTCAGCGGATGCTTTACCGTACGCGGCTGCGGCAGGCCTGTTTCCTGGGAGGTTACTTCACAGCTGACTGGTGTTGCCTCCATGTTTTCCACCTCTGTGCTCACTTCTGTCGTCTCAGATTCAGCTGCTAAGACGTTGCTCGGCTCTGTTGGAGAGTCCGAGTGCGGTTCGGTGTCCAACACAGCCGAAGACTCGGAAACACCAAGCTCACCTGTTTTGTCATCTTTGCTCTCAGTTTGTTCGACAGATTTATCTTCCACAGATGTTTCAACGCTCTTTTCATCACAAGAATTTCCTGCTGGAGCTGCAGAAATCTCTGATGTGGCTTCTTCTTCTTCTTCTTTCGGAGCTTCTGCTGCTGCTTGGCTATCGTTGTCACTCACAGGTTTAACCTAAAACCAGGGACACAGAGAAACCTGTTCAATAATTTACACCAAGATTCATATCCGCAGTCTTCTCCAGCCACAACAACTAACCCCACTGACCTCTGATGAATCACAATATGCAGCAATAACTTTGGTGTGAGCGTTCGGTTTAGGATCAGGGTTGCGGGAGAAAAACAGAGGGTTGTTCTGGATGATGCACGGAAACTTCAGGAAGCGTTTGTAAACAGCCAAGGCCCTGACTGCAGTCAGCATCTCACAAATCACCTGAGAATGAGCAAATAAAGTACATCATTCACCTGATAAAGACATTTTGTACTTCTGTGAAAAAAATCTGGAGAGATTCTTTTTGAAAGAAACGTTTCGTCTTTCATCTGAAGGACTTCATCAGTCTGAGGCCTGACACTGAGGCCTGTTGGATAAACAGCACTTCTTGATGCGTTTCAAGGCAGCCTGCTGTGGATTTATTTATTTATTTTTCCATTGTTGGAACTGGGACCTTGAGTACACAATTTCGTTCCACCTCATGTACCACATGTGATGCGACTGACACTAAAGAACCTTGAATTCCCAGAGACTGGCTTTACACATGCAAAAAGGGACCATCTGTTCAAAACAATCAAATGTTTTAGGCCAGACGGACGACTTGCTACTCCCAGAACAGCCCGAGGACACCTGGCCAACATGGTTCAGAAAAAATGTTTGTAAGCTCTTTTTTTCCCCTGCCAGGCTCTCATCGAGGTGGCAGCTTCCGTTTCTCCTCCCCTGTTTTCCTTCCTCCTGCTCTGCTCTCTGTGTGTCTGAAGCACCTGGCTCTCATCTCCCGAACATAAATTAAGAAGATTATGGATTTGGTATCGTGGGCGTTCAACTCTATTGATAAGATTTTTTCATCAAAGCGACAAGTTCCTGGGGAACCGGCGTGTCCAGCTGAGACTCACGCTGTGGGGTATCGTGGGGAGTGTGGCAGATGATGTGCCTCTCAGTCCTGTCTCAGGAGGATGTTGAAGACGTTCACATATTTGGATTTATGATAGCAGGACTCTGCTTTTTGGCATCGGCGGGGCTCTGTTTTATCGACTTTTGAAGAAGACATCGGGAGCAGTTTCAGCCATGGAAAAGATTCCGAGTCAGTGTGAAGGTCTGGTCCTCGCTGTAGGAACTTTGAATCGTCTGGTTTACGAGCTTAACCGTAAGGTGGAGGCGGCTTCTGGGACTCGTCAGAATAGTGGGTTCGACCTTGAGGGAGACTCATAGCATGGATCAGTGGAATGGAATCCCACAATTAGGCATTTTCGGAACCAGAACGCCCAGATGGACTCGAGGCTGGAAAAAAGTAATCTGTCTGCCTGAAGAAAAACAAGAATCAAGCTCATCTAAATCTGACTCCCGATGGCCTCGGAGACAGGACGACTATCAAATTTCTCCTGGGACATGAGTAACCAAGGACAAAAGCTTCATCTATCTATTGAACTCATGTACCTGGATGATGAATGATGATTGTTTTGGACTGACTAACGCCAGTTTCTGGGAACTCCACAGCAGGCTGGCTTGAAACGCATCAATAAGATACTATTTATAAGACAGACCTTGATGGCAGACCTCAGACTGATGAAGTCTTTCAGATGAAAGACGAAACGTTTCTTCCCAGAAAGAAACTGTCCAGATGACAATTTAACTTTTTTTGTGCGTCACTCTGAAGTCGTGTCAGCTGGATTAGTATAATGGGCCTTACCATGTTGTTGGTGCTGAGCACGAGATTCCTTTTTACTTTACCGAAGCGTTGCACCAGTTTTACAACCTCACTGGAGCCAGATGGTGTATCTGGAACATTCTTGATAACCAACAAACGGTTCCAGACAATTGGAGCCACATTCTCCTGCAAGAGGACAGACAACTATCTGTTTAAGGATTTCTAACCAATTCTGTTCAAATACATGTCAAAAGGGCAGTAACAAGTCAAACAAATGCAGACGCTCTTACTCATCCTAATGTCAATATGACATCCATTCTCTTTAATAAGCAACAAATACAGCCTGTGAACAAAGCAAAGCTCACCAAAGGATCCACCGATCCCATGAAGAGATTGTAAAGGGCCACCTGTGAAAATACATTTTAAAATGAGTCATTGTTACAGTTCGTTAAAAGAAACACCTTTAAGATGTGACCGATTGTAATAAGCTGAATCTTGTACCGGTGTGCTAAGGCCAACGTTCTGTTTGAGAAGACTTAGCTTCACTTCTGTGTTGTTAACCATGGCAGACTTGAAGCTGTGGACCTTCACCATCTCCTGAGCCACGTCCAAGTCCGCCAGCGACACGAGTGCCTAACATCCAAACACACGTACGTCAGCATTTTATAGCAGACACTTCATCTTGGCTGTTTTTAAGCAGGTCATTTAATGAACTAATCAATAAAATGTATTAAAAAGTTCAACTAGACAGGTATGGCTAAGTTTGAGCTAAAGGCTCCACTGCTAAAGGCTTACAGCTTTTGCGAGTCAGAATTTGGGAAAAAGCAAAACAGTTTAAGAAAATGTCAGTATATCTCCAGTTTAAATGTTGAAAATGTTCAATGACATCACACAAGAAAAGTCAACTTTTTAGAAGTAAAAAAGTATTTGAAGTTTTCAAAGCGACGCCCGACCTTTCTGGCGTTTGTTGACAGGATGATGTCGAATGAATTCCCGAAGGGTTGGACCAGTTGGATGATGTCAGTCTCTGACCAGCCGCTTTCAGGGAGGCCTGTGATCAGCACCTTGCAGCTCTGTTTAAAGACAATACACCAACATTAGATAGGGTGGACATCTCATTCCTCTTCAGCCAGTTGAAGCTACACGTGCACTATTAAAACCAAAGAAACGCACAATCCCAGTTCAGAGGACATTGTGTGAAACCAATTCAATCAGAATGCAATGATTTGCAAATCTCAAAACCCATAATTGATTCACAGTGGAACATAAACATATCAAATGTTTAAGAAACTGTGCGGTTTTATTTAGGCAACAACTTTATAGCAACAACACGGCTCAATAAACGGGACAGGGGAACAAAAGGCTGTTAAGGTGCTACGAATAAGAAACAGCTGGAGGACAATGTTGCAACAAAATATAAATTGTAGTTGTAAATTGGCAACGGATCAGAACGGGGACTGGATGTAAAACGAGCATTTTAGAAAGGTTGAATTTCTCAGAAGTAAAGACGGGCAGAGGTTCATCAATATGCAAAAGCTGTCCGAGTCTACAATGTGGTCTAATTTCAGAATAATGCTCCTCGATCAAAAAATGGCAGCACTTGAAATCCCATGTGCAGTTCATATCTTTAAAAGATTTTATACATGTGGAGAAACCTCAGAGGTCAAAGGCTGAAAGTTAACACTGGATCACCGTGATCCTCAGATCGATAGATGATTGAGCAAAGAGCTTTGATACAGATAGATATTTGGGGGGTGCACTCCTATCACTCTAATAAATAATCTACATTTTGTTTTTCCCAGTAACTCCTGTAATCAGTCAGTAAAAACAAACAACTGACTCACAGCTACAATGCGAGAAGAGGTGGGCAACAAAATAATGTGCGTGGCCAGGAATACAGTTTTGTGGGCCGACATTTGATCATGCGAATCTTGGCTGTACGGCTTGCTGGTGATTTCTGACTTGATTCATAATTGATTAATGAAGAAATGTTCTGACTGGAGGTCAGTTAATAAATTACAGCATGTGGACACCAAACACACCGTTTCCTTTCAGCTACTCACAAGTTACTCAAAGAAAGAGTATTTGGATTCTGTACCTGATCTGAAGTCATCTGGATTGCATCACCTCCGGCTGAAAAAATAAGATAAAAAAAAAGTTAACGTACAAAGTTTTCAATGGGGTGGATTTAACATAGAGCTAGGGAGGCTGTCTTTTAACTGGATAGTTGCAGGTTTAATTCCCAGCGAATGCAAAGGGCTGAAGTGTCCCTGAGCAGGACACTGAACCTCAATATGAGTGCGTTAAAAAGAGCTATAGAGTGTAAACCATACGTCAGAAAGTGCTGAATAAGAGTTTATGTGAATGGGTGAAACTTTGGAAAGAGCTGAAAGAAGTGATCAAACATTTGTCATTTAGCTTTTATTTATCCAGGTAGTCTCATTGAGCCACGAGAACTCATTTTCAAGAGGCTGTTTAGGGAGCAGATGGGGGTTAAGGGCCTTGCTCAGGGGCCCAGAGTGGGACGAATGAGGGTGGGGGGCAGGTGTGGGTGCTTCACCTACCCCACCCACATTTTTGATGTTGTTGGAACCGGCGATCTTTCGATCACAGGCCCAAATGAGCAAAAAATAGCTGAAAAGGCAGAAAGAGATGAAACTACCAGAAGGAAGCAAAAAGAGCTGAACTGAGCTCAAAACAATGTGGAATTAGCTGAGAAAGCTAAAAATAGCATTAAACAGCTAAATAGTAGCTGAAATAGCAGAAAAGGCCGAAACTAGCTAAAATAAGCTGAAATTAGCATAAATATGCTAACTAGGCTGAAAGTAAAAGAAATAAACATGAAAAACTTCAAAAGGTAGCTGAAAAGGTAGAACAAGTTTAAATGAGCAGAAAAAAGCAAAACGCACACGTTTGCCCAATTCGGCTGAAAGAAGCAGAAATGAGAACAAAAAAGGAAAAGCTGAGGTTTCACTGAAAATACGCGCCGTGTAAACGGCCCGAGTGATGCTTCTTGATCAGGAAATGTGGTTTCTTTTTACCAACCATTCCACTTTAGGTTCCTCCTCTGACTTTATTTACGGACAGACCGTCAATGCAGCTAACCTCATGGTTTATATAGACAATAAAAACTTTCCTAATGAACAGTGCTAAAAGATGCTGCAGCTTTTCTGTTGCGCATTCACTGACCCCCCCAAAAAATTAGATTTCTGAGCACTGACTGATTAAATATCAGCTGATGCTAGCCACAAACCAATTCCTCAGAGCACCTCTAATAAAAAGTGGTAATCTCTGTAGTCTATTTTAAATTTATGGATAAGGTAAATTTGTTTCCATGTAAATATTACACAGATTTCTTACCTGAGCTGCTGACATCGGCCTTTTTGTCTGGGTTTGCATCAGGTTTGCTGTAAAGAGAAGAGCTGAGTGAGTCCACAGTGTCGTATACACAGAGTGACTGGATTGCCTGACAAAAAAATGAAAGGATTGTTTAAATAGAACTATAACAAACTTGTCGGTGTCAGGAAGCTGCTTGGCTTCAGGTTTCTGCAAAGAAAAATAGAACAGAAGCAACAAATGAGAACACTTTAATGTGAGTTTTCAAACTGCTGACCCGAGTTCACATATTTCAAAAGTTTAAGGGAGGACTTTAGACAAACACTTCATGGAGGTTCCAGTGGTTCTTATTTAGATGGATGTGAACAGGATTTTAATGCCGCACAACATTTCATTGCAATAATTAGTTTACAAAACAAATCCCTTTTGAGTGGTGTAGGTATTAAGAAACCCCTGAGGCTCATTGTGATAATACTCTGACATAAATAAAAACACCAAAGTCCACGTTCAATAATCCAGGTAAAAACCCAACAATGTTCAGTCAGTCATCTGGAGGGTTTCTTGTTAATTGCTGAGACATTTCATCTTTTATCCAAAGGACTTATTCAATCTGAGGAGCCACCAAATAAACCGATTCCCACAAACAGCATACTCCATAGAGGGAGTATGAAGTATGCTCAAGTCATGGCTTGGTGTCAAGTCATGGTCCACTTAAGTTTCACTTTCATTTCAGCACTGCCGAAGCAGGGAGCAACACTGTGTAGCATATTTTGCTGAACAGAGCATGGTAAGTTTATTTTAACTGATTTGTAAAACAAATCAACAATAATAAATTCTCTTCAATCCTCCAACCTGCTTGTCATTAGCTATGTGCCTCTTAAGTTAGCAAGCTAACGTTTAGATAACCTAGCATAGGCTAATGCCTTGTAAAACTTTATCCAGAACAATAAATCTAAAGTAGAGGTAAAATATATCAGTGGTAGTAACGTTATCTTTGTCTTCTTCAATGAAATGCATTGTTTGTCTGAAATCTTTACGTCTCTGCTAAGAAAAATAAACTCTGCTACGGTCAATAATAATTAGACCGTCACCATACGTGAATGACTGTTTAAACAATGAACAGGAAGGATGTTTCTTTGTTTAATTTATATTTTTGTAACACACTTGATAACTCTATGGTGAATAGTGGAGGATAGAAAATGTGAAAGCACGTTAGGAAGACTGTTTTTAGGTCCAGTGCACCACTTGGAAACCTACTGTGGGACTGTGTACAGCGTGGATCTGATTAGCTTAGCTTCATGGTTGCTAACAGCTGGGCTAAATAAACAAGCCCCGCTCCACTCGATGTTAGATTCTTGGGGGTGGACAAAGCTAAAAAAAATTGTCAGCCATTTTATCGGTTATCTGCGGTCGCCTTCCCCTCCCAACATCGTTATCGGCGATTGGCAAAATTTCCATATCGGTCAGGCTCTAATGTTGATGCTACTAAAGTTAGCATAATGGTAAAGCTACGCAAGCTAAATGTTTTCTTCAGTTGGTGACAACTCCTTCGTTTTTAAGATAGGAACTACTTTTGTTTCTCATTGGCAGCCAACTCACGCTGCTCACTGTGTGCATGTTTGTATTAATGTTGCAGTTAAGGCCCCAGTAAACTCGGGTGTACGTCAGTCTGCGGAGGTCCGGATTAGTCTCGAAGCAGACGCCCGCAGGGCATGTCCATGCAAAGCTCAATTTTTACGACAGCATACTCGTACTCGGTGTCGCACAATAAACTGCCCGGCGACAAACTGTTTTGTATGTGACACCAATGTATTAAATTTCCCTTCTTCATCCCTGATCTGTTTTTTTTTCTTTTGTTTTTTTTTTCCAAAAGGCAAGCGATCTCTTCCTCCTCCGTTGATGCCATGACTGAAATTGTGAGAAATGAAGGAATTTGTCACGAGCAAATTAAAATCAGGTCCAGCGTGGCTGCGGGAGGGTCTGGAGATTTCCTGGTGGGCTGGTCTGATGTGTGGGCTGCAGGACCAGTGCTCCCTGTTTTTTTTATTTTTTAGAACATTTTATTAACATATAAATACAGAATACCGTTGCGGCTGGGGATGCCAGCTATAGTTTTTTTTGGGGTTGTTTTTGTGACCAGTCACTCAATCCAGTAGGCGTGTCAGCAAATGACCAATCGGCGACCTCGATTTGTCCAGAAGGTAAACGCCCCTTGCCTGCAGAGCTGGTCTGCAGCCGCTCAGGGTGGATGCTCGAGTATGAAGCCTCAACTCTCTGCGGACAGTGGTGTCGAGTCCGCGTGGGAAAAGGTCTGCCTGAGTATACTGGAGCCTTTAAGGAAGTACTACTTAAAGACAGTTCATCATAATTTTGTGTAGGAAATATGTATGCAAAATTATGATTAGACTACTTTGAAGTCACTGCTGTTCACTTAAGTTTCACTTTCACTTCATCACAAAGCAAGGAGCAATGCTGTGTATTTTGCTGAAGACTAGACTATAAACCAAGACATTCTATTATGACTGCCTGCATTATAAATACTTTATATTTTGACTAGGGAACTAGAGAATCGGGTAAGCAAAGGTCATGAAAACCTGTAAGTAGTTGATTGGCTCTGAGTTTGTGCACGCTTGGATCACAGGTGCTTCTTGAAAGCTGATTTGCATTGATTTTAGGGTCTGGTCTAGATTGTCTTAAAAAGGTGGGAAATTTGGGCAACACCAGAAAAATCCCATCCCAGTGTATGATGACAGAATACGGATCAGGGTCATGTACCTTGGCTACTGAAGCAGTGATTTTCTGCTCTCTGATGCAGAGGTTTGGAGCAGCAACAAAAGCCAGAGCGTCCATTGCCCTCATCATGCACACAGACGCCTGCAGCAGGTCAAAGTATCAAAGTTACAATGTGTGACAGACAGCAGCAGAAGACATTGGTCTCCGAGTGACACAAGAAACACAAACAAAATGTTTACCGTCTGCCCTTTCTCACGGTCCTCCTCAGAGCACGGCATGAGGACCACATTGTTGATCTTGCCAAAAGAGCCAACCATGTCAGTAACCTCCTGCTCTGTGGCGTCTTTTGGGATGCCCGTCATGTAAACCAGACACCCTGCAACAGTTGAGTCCTTGCTGTCTGCAGCTACAACCTTCTTCTTCTTGGCTAGTGGTGGTTTGACAGACTAGAAACCATAGAAACCATATTATCATCAGCTGCATGTTCAACAATTCAACAGCATCTTTCAATATAAAACACTTTCTTATTCTGTGAGCACAGCTGACTGCACACAAACAACTTCCAGGGTCTGAGACACCAACTGAAATGTGACAAAAAGTGGTTTCTGGGCAAAGATCAGCTTAACTGAGTTAGAGACCTTGGTAGTTTTGGCCCCAGGCTTCGGTGCACGTTTCACAGTTTTAGTGGAGTGTGCTAACGGATCATGTTTGGAGCTGTGCTCAGCTGCAGAGGACGACAGACTTCTGCTCGTGTCACAAGAACCACGGCGAAGACGCTTCACACCACTGCGAGAGACGATCCCTGTCCAACAGAAACAATCACAGAGGAGGAGAAAAAGTTTAGTGTGGTTGAACAACAAGAGCCACATGCATTAAAAAATACCTGAACACATTTAAAGTTTCCTCAACACACAGAAATCATGTCAGGTAATGTTAACCATCTCCTCTGCTCAATGCCAAAATTATTTTTGTGGACTGATAATGAGGTGAAACTTCTACTCACATTTTTAAACCAATATGCACAAAAGAGCTCAAATTAGCAGCCAAGTAGCTAAAACTAGCAAAAAATGTTAAAAGTAGGAATAACAAGCTGAAATTAGCAGAAAGAAGCAGAACAGAAAATTAAAAATAGAATATGCAGAGAAAATAAAAAGAACAACAAAACAACGTAGGTGTCAAGTCAAAAAAGCTCAAATTAGCAAAAAATTAAAGCTGAAAAGTGGGTGAAAAGCAGAAAATACACTAATTTAGCAGAAAGCAGTGAAAAGAGCACGTTTGCTGAATTAAGCAGAAAGAATATGAAACATCTTGTGGCTAAAAGTATAAAGATCAGCTTGAAACGAGACATTTCATCCTTGTTGTCCAAAGGACTGCGCTGACAGCTGCTGGATAAAACCCTGAGATATTTCTGATAAGACGCGTTGCAGTTTGAACATTTATATTTTGTGGGTGACAGAATAAAGTTGTGGTCATTTGATGAATAAATAATTTAATTCAAATTCAATAAAAAAATTATTAATCCCAAAGTGAAATTTAATGTTGTCGTAGCTCATCGTCCTGGTTTCATTCAAGAGTTGTTGCTGATAGCTGTGGGCAGGAAGGATCTCCTGCGGCGAATCCGAAGAATCTGGCCACAGATATAGATCCGTCCACCCGGATCCAGCTTCCTGTCAGATCCGGCGGGCCTCTCGATCCTACTGGGCAGCAGGACCGCCTGAACGCCAGGCAGAATTCCTGGCTGAGTGACGGTCACTCCTCCCAGCAGTCTGCCGAGCTCCTCGTCGCCACGGACATAGAGCTGAAGGTGCCGGGGAATGATCCCGGCCCTCCCGTTGTCACGAGCCGGGTTTTCCACCAGCTCCAGGATCTCGGTGGTCAGGTACTCGAGCATCACCGCCAGGTTGACGAGAATTCGTCCACGGCGCCTCCTTTTCAACTCATTTGGAATTTTGGAGCTGTAGTTGAGATATTATTTGAGCTTTGAGATGTTAATCAGCTGCTCCTGGTCGTTTAAAAACCACCTCGTTGCCATGGTTACGCATCATAACAAATGCCCAAAAGTAAAAAGGTTTCAGTAAAAATCCTTCCAGCTGCACAGCATCTGATACCAGAGGAAATGATCATCCAAAAAAAAGCAACTTACATCCAGAAAAAGAGGAATTAAAGTTTCCAAAAGCAACAACTCAGAATGAAAGTAAGAGCTGCTCCAACATGCAGCCGCCCCGAGCGGCACAACTCTAGGTAAACTTAACTTCATGAATAAACTTGTTTACAACGTGGCATCGCATGTTGACTTTTATAAACATATTTTTATAAATCATATCCAATTCACAACCACTTCAGAATGATGCTTGTGCTGCAGGTTTCTTGCCTCCACAACTTTTTGCAATGAACCAACTTGTGTTTACTGTGAGATCACATCGTAACTTAAAACTTGTTTTTTTTATTCTGAATTTTTCTCTTCTCTCTTGGGATTAAAGTCCTTTGAACTGTTAAACTAAACACATAAAACGCATCGGGCTCCACGTCTCGCTGTACGCTGCTCGCCGGTTTGTTATATTTTGTGCAAACTGCACCATTAAAACCCACCATGAATCTGTCCGGTGATTTAATTCTTCGTAAACCTTTGAATCAGGTTCCGACGCCTTTCGACACTTTCGAACCTTTGAGCGTCACTGATCACGACTTTTGTCAAACGAAACAAGAAATTACTTTATTTTGAGACATGGCCCCGAGCTTTAGCTTCAGCTGGCTTATTTTTATTTAATCTTCATTTATGCTGCTCATGTTCATGACTGAACATTTCAAACATCCTGCGCGTTGTGTTTTAACGTGACCAGTCTGTTCCCAGTCTGTTCCCAGTCAATGACAGAACAAAGTTTGGTGTCAGTATCTGATATTAAGCAGCGTGATATATCCTTAAAAATCAGCCTCCATTCTGACTTAAAGAGACGTTTCACAGCGACTCACCTGATGACGTCCTGCTCCTCAAAGGATGATCTCTCGCTCGCTCTCTGACAGGTAAATACTTCCCGTGGGAATAAGGTGGGCTGTGAAAGCGGTGGTGGTCGGCCCGATGACTGCGCTCTTAGTACAGCAGAAACAAAGAGGAAATAATTTAACAGTGAGGATACAACTCGGAACAAACCTATTCTTTGAGCTCAGTGTTTTGTACTTTTAACTCAGCTGGAAACAACATTAACATGTGTTTTAGTAACGGGTGCTTGCAGCTGTAGTCTACCTGGGAGTCGGCGGGGAGAATAAGACCTCCTGCGAGGTCTGCTGAGATAGGTTCCTCCTTCGTTGGAATAAGGACTCGGAGAGCGAGACTGGGACTGAGACATCGAGTCAAAAGGAGAATCATCTTTGGGTTCCGATGAGGCCTGGTTTCTGTAGTTTCTACGCCGGCTGAAAACATAAAGCAGGGTTTCAGGTGTAATCAGACAGATTTTCTGTAAGGGAGCCAAAACACATATTTTAAAATAAGAGCGTTTTCTCTTAGCATCATTGTTGCAATAACAGTGAGTTATCAACATTACAAGGACTTGCTAGACTGCAATACATCAAGTTGTTCCCCACATAGGTCATATTTGTTACGTCTACATTCAAGGTCTGCATGTAAATAATATTCTGTATTTATTCAACCCAAAAGACTCTGGCCTCGAGGCCCAGACCTGGTTTAAATGATGGTAATGACCGAAGAGAACGCGAGGGGCAAAATGTGAGTTTATCTATCAGGTCTCTCTTGTAAATGAGTCCTCGAGGCTCGATGAGACTAACCTGTATAAATAAAGGTTGAATGAATCTCAAGTATCACCATGATCACAAAGATAAACTGTAATACTGCACTTGTAAAATAACACGCAGCCCTGCTGTTGTCTTTAAGCATCTAAAGAACATGCTTGTAAAAGATCAAATACAAAGAATCAAAGGCTTTTGTTTTTATAAAGGTCATACGTTTCGATCTCTCCAACCTCAGATAAACACAAACACACGCCTCACTCGACACAAACTGAACCGGACGGTGAAAAACTAAATATTTCTTATTGCAGCTGTGAACAGGGGTGCCCAAATGGACTGCGGTCCAGATCCAAACCCACATGAAGTCTGATCTGAGCCCAGATATTCTTAAATTTTAATCAAAACATTTTACTTGAACAAATTTTCTTGCATTCATGGCGAGTTATGTTCAGATGCACAACGTTTCCAGGATTTAAGACGATAATGGAGTTTTGTTCCACTTCTTCAAACGCCGGTTCATTTAGATTTGCAGACATCGGTTTCTGCTCCGCTCTCTGAAGGTCTCACCGCAGCTTTTCAATCAGACCGCGGTTCTAAACTTTGCCTGGATCACTGCAGCGCCTTGATTCTACTCTTTTTCAGCTGTAGAGATGCTTCTGTGTTTGGAGTCGTTTTATTTTGCACCATGAGCAAGTTTGGTCCAAACTTCAGGGGTTGGACAGACCGCCTCACATTTGGCTCCTCTAGACGTTGACCAGTAGGAGTTTTTTCGGACAGAGGTCCATTTGAAATCAGGAGTTTTTGGTTTCCAGCCACAGACCTAAAACATGCATGTCAGGTTAATTGTAACTCTATAGTCACGTTCTGCTTTTTGTTTTTGATACACAGTGAGATGACCCACGTGCTGAAGTTTATCTGAGGTTTTTTTTTCCACGTCCATGTAATTACCAGTAGATAAAATTATATTTGTTGTTATTTTTCTCACAAATGTTTTATCTGCACCTTCAAATGTTTTGTTTGGGATAAGCCAATTTAAGAGAAGTGACCGCAAAAAGCTGAAACAACCAGAAGTCTAACTGACCTCGATAGCGCTGGTTTCCAGTCTGGGTACCTTCAAACACACAAACATCTGTTAGTTCACATACAGTGAGAAAAAAAAAGAAGTAATTTTTTTAATTATTAGCAAATTTGGTAAGGATTTATTTTAAACACACACTGGCTTCAAACATTACTTAAACCTCCATCACTTTATGTCACAGCCTGCAGCTACAATCCTTAAATATTTCCCCTCACTCTGCTCTCTGTGCGCTATAATGGCAACGCAAAATCTACATCTATCGATTGTACAGAACTGCATAAAATTCATATAAAGAAAAAGGCAAACTAATATTTTTTTAAACCATTTCCAGAAATTTTCAGACTTTTCGTAGCAAAATTTTGAATTTATCTCAGGCTCAGCCATTTCTCTTGACCTCTGCTGAGATTTCCTACATCTTGACTGGAGTCCACCTGGGCTAAATTAAACATTGGATTTCAAAACCCACCTTTCTATACACCTTATTTCTGGGGGCTCTGTATGTACTACTCTGTAGTTCCTGTATAATGATTATGGGTACAACTTCCTGTCAGACACAGGAAGTAGCAGTAAGCATTGGTTAACCATGGTAGCGGAGCACTTACCGCAGTTTGAAAGTAATTTACATTAATCAATGTTCATGCTCAATAATCCAAATAAAAAAAAAATCCAACAAGTTAAGTCAGGTCCTCTAGATGGTTGATTGTGGAATGAAGATGTTCACATCCTTGATAGAGAGGAAACCTGGTTTGAGAGAGGAGTGAAGGAGGCCATCTTTGTGAAAAGTACCTGTCCATCGTGAAACGGGGCGGAGCCTCTGTGTCCAACTGTCCCCCTCTTACAATGTTACTGCTAGAATCACTCAACCCTCTGTGAATAGCAAGCAGCCATCAGGGCACTAACGATCAGTCGTTAGGCTGATGGTCCTCCTTGATCAGGGGTGGGCAATTATTTTTTCCATGGGGCCACATGAGAAACAGCAGATATTGTGGAGGGCTGGCACCAATTACTTTTTCATTCAACCTTTATTTAGACAGGTAAATCCCATTGAGCCTCGAGGACTCATTTACAAGAGAGACCTGATTTCAACTGAACTCAATACTGCATAATATTAGTATTTCATTATTAAAAGCAGTACACTGTTTTAACAAGCTGGTAAGAGTATTTGTTATGATTAAGCAACAAAAAAGCGAGGTTTCCTTACAAAAAATGTCATTTATTCAATTAAATTTCCCAGTACAATGGTAAACTCTTAACATTTTTACCATTTGTGACGTTATATTAATGATCACTTTCAGTCACATTCACCCCAAAACTCATTTTGAGTTTTATATACTGCTGGAAAAAGTTCTTAGCTTTCTAAATATATCACAATATTGTCTTTGTATTCCAAATATTATGAAACATCATATAATAGTGATCGTCACTGAACTGTGATTTCGAGTCCCGGTTCTTTACGTGCCTACATTTGTAGTCTAAACATCTCATTTGGTGTTTATCGGTTCTTTTTTCTTGTTTAGTGAGAGAAGTTTAGTCTCTGTTGGGCTTTAACAGAAATGTTAAAGTCAGGTTCAAGGTCTGAGGTGGAGATGTGAAGCAAAGCTGACATCATCATTGAGAGAGGATCTATATCTGGATTTGGTTAACTTCATTTGTTTACATATGTATTTTGTAATTCCCCTTACGGGGGCCGGTGAGAGTCAACCAAAGGGCTGCATGTGGCCCTGGGGCCGTACAATGCCCAGGTCTGTCCTTGATCATGTGAACAGCTAGTTCTGGATGTCAACAACGAACTGGTTGATCCACCATGAGAAGGTGCTATTTATAAGACTTTGAGTTTGTTGCAGCTCCTCAGACTGAAGAAGTCCTTTGGATAAAAGACGAAACATTTAAACAAGAATCCGTCCAGAGGACCTGACTTTACTTCGTTAGACTTTTCTACCTGGATTACTGAGCAGAATCAGGATGTTTTACTGTTATGTGAAGTGCGTTTATTCTCGTAACACCCGTCTCTATATTTCCCGTTTTCTCTTGAAGGTGAATACATGCAGCAGGTTTAACAGCTTCAGCAGCACATCAACATGTCCTCACTTGACGCGCAGCACTCTGCAAGCCACCGTATGATCCACAGTGTTGATATGCTCCAGCCAGTCCTGAAGTAAAAACATCAAATGAAATAAAGAGGAGAGAAACGTCACAAACGGGGTCAACAGAAGAAACACCAGAGACGTGAATCTCGGCAGCGTGCATTTCCACTGAACTCGTGGCTTGGTTCATGTGATGTCTTCACATTTACGCCCCAGCCATCAGATATTACAACACGTTCCATCTCAAACTGGTATTTCTGTGTCTATTCAGTACATTTCTGTCGTTTGTTCGGTTGAGTCTTTGTCATCAGCACGAAATGGATCCAGGCAGAAACATCGTTCAGATGTTTTCCAAGTTTTTCATCGTGACATTACTCAACTCTCCTACCCTGAGAATTTTAATAAAAACCCTCTGAATTTTAAGGACACAGCTTCTAAAAAACAGTCAGAACTTCAAGATTTAATTTAAGGTTGGTTCTTTTCCCCATCAAAGTGATATAAATCCATGGATTGGACAATTTGTATCCTGAATAAAACTTGTAAAGATTGACAAAGGTTTTTTTTTTATTTTTCCCCCAATTAAATTTTTTCAAACTGTTTAAAAGAATTCAGAAAAATGTAAGAATAGTTGTGTTAGTAAAAACATCTAACAGGATTTTAGACTATAAAACCCTGAACAGAACAAGGACATGACTCAACTTTACTGAAAATGAAGGAATGGATGTAAGAAAAATGGTTCATGTTGGTGTTTTTCAGCAGTTCTGCACTAAAATATAAACCATGTGAATCAGTCTTGAAATATAATAGAAAATATTCTATTAAAACTTTTTTAACAGATACACCAGTTTTCAATAATAAGTGGTCATTACTGAGGAAAGAACCAGTTCATGTACCGTATTTTCTGTTGTATACGTCGCACCGCCCTATAAGTCGCATCAGTCCAAATACGTCTAATAAAGTGGAAAAATCTATAAATACATCACTTCCACGTCCACGTTACATCTATTATGCGTCACCGCTGACAGCTCAGAAATGTGGCCGGTGTTGTGCCAAAAATCTATTGGCGGCCGCGGGAGCGTGCACGGGAGGACTTTAACAAGAATTTAACAAGAACAACGCTTAAAAAAATATATTTGTTTGCTCGAAATTATAGAAAAAGTCTAACTTTTGTTTAATAAATGCACTTTGACGGTCAAATCAGCTGCATTTCAAAACCCGATTTGCGGAAGAGGGCACGCGCAGAGGGACGAATTGCTGTGCATTTCTTTGAAATTTAACAAGATAAACACCTAAAACAATTATTTGTTCGCTCGACATTATAGCAAAGGTGTGTCTCAGTTGAATTTTTACTTAATAAATTCACTTTAATGGTCAAATTAGCTGCATTTCACCAGGGCGGCAAAGCTAAATGGAGCTGATTTGACGGCTGCTTCAGGCGAGCTGGACAAAGGTGGCAGGCTATGGCAAGCCGATTGTGTCATTAATAGCCACTTTTACCTATACATGACACAACGGCATGCCATACAACTCGAGTGCCATCTAGCGGCTGAAAATGGTAGTGTTCAATATTTTCAGTCAGAATGAATGAAAACGGTCATATCTCAGCCAAAAATTGGTTTATAAATACGGGAAAACAAATACGTCGCAGGACATGTAACTTGTGCAAAAAGACGCGACTTACAGGGCGAAAAATACGGTAAACATTTACTAGTACATATTTATCCTACTTGGTTTTCAGAAACAGAAAAAGATTCATTGTTCCTGCAGTTGTCAAAGTGAATCGAGACATCAGGTCTCTATGGATGTTTTATTTACTGCGCATGTGCACACGCTTAACTCAAGGTTTAGACTCTCAGAGTTGATTGCACTTATTCTAATCAGCCTTTTTGAAACAAAAACTAACAACAAAAAAACAATTAAAGTTTTCCTACGTCAAATTAAGTTACCCGAGTTTCAACCTCCTTTCTGGAATAGCTCGAGTGTAATTTCCCTGTTGGAACATGTACAGAAAGTGCACGAACAGCATCTTCAGCTAGCTTCCTACAAGATGCAGGCGACTTTTCTATTATCAAAACGTAGAATAAAACTAAATGACTGATGCTGTTATTGAACCTTGTGGTATACTGTACAAGATTTGTTTTATTATTTAAAAAATATATATATTCCCAGGCTATAGTATAAATTAAAAAACAAAATGTTTACATACACTGTACAAAAGGAACCAAGTTTTTCCTCACCGTCTGACATTAAACCTTAAAACCGTGACCTTGTTTTAGGTCAGAATAACCAAAATTATGTCCATTTCTTAATAACTTGAATAATGAGAGATAATTTTTATAGAACTTTTGTGATTTTCTTTAAAGTCACCAGTTTATAAGATGACTTTACCTTTAAACAATTTTGAAAAGCCCAGATGATGTCATGGCTTTGGAAGCTTTTCATTGGTTAACTGACATCATTTGAGGTACATGGTGGCACAAACCTACTGCTTCTTTGTCCGACATCATCGGAAAAAACAAAATAAATCAAAGATATCAAGAAGAGAAATTTTGACCTTCATATCGTGACGCATGCTCATTAATCCAAGTAGAAAAATCTAAAAAAAGTAAAGTCACGTCCTCTGGGCAGATTCTTCTTGTTGAAACCTTTCATCTTTTTTTATCCAAAGGACTTCTTCAGTCTGAGGAGCTGCAACAAACTCAGTCTTATAAATAGCACCTTCTCATAGTGGATCAACCAATTTGTTGATGACATCCAGAACCATGATTAACGAGGACCATCAGCCTAACGACGGATCGTTAGTGCCCTGATGGCCGCTTGCTATTCTCTCAAACTATCGTTCCTCCTTTACTCCTCTCTCAAATCATTATTCCTCTCTATTAAGGATGTGAACATCTTCATCCCTGAAAGAGTGACTGCTGGCCTGCAGATGAGTGTAGACCACAGAGTCCAGACCTGATGAACAGGAGATGCACAGATGATCAACATCATCAGGCCAGGACTTTGTGGTCTACACTCATCTCCAGGCCAGAGGTCACTCTTTCAGGGATGAAGATGTTCACATACTTAAGAGAGGAATAATGGTTTGAGAGAGGAGAGAGGAGGCCATCTTTGTGGAGAAACCGTCCATCATTAAACGGGGCGGAGGCCTCAGTGTCCAACTGTCCCCCTCCTACTATGCTGTTATTGTTACTATCACTGAGCCCCCTGTGAATAGCAAGCGGCCATCAGGGCGCTAACGATCGGTCGTTAGGCTGATGGTCCTCCTTTATCATGTGAACAGCTGGTTCTGGATGTCAACAGCAAACTGGTTGATCCACTATGAGAAGGTGCTGTTTATAAGACTGAGTTTATTACAGCTTCTCAGACTGAAGAAGTCCTTTGGATAAAAAATTAAACGTTTCAACAAGAAGAATCCATCCAGAGGACCTGACTTTACTTTGTTAGTTTGAACTTCATAACCCTGGCACAATTTCTACATGCCTGTTAGGGGTGCACCGATTGCAGTTCTCTGGCCGATCACCGATCTCTAAAAAAGTCTGACCTGCCGATTCAGATTTTGTTTTATAAGAGACACCATCAGGTGATATAAGGTCACAATGCACCTTCAATTTTCTTATCTTATTTTATTGAAAAACATACCCTTGAACAATATCCTAGAAACAATAAAAACTTGTTTTAACTGGCAATGAGGCAGTGCTCTGAAATCTAAATGAAGTTTTGACAATTGTCGTTAAAACTACCAAAAAAAAAAAAAAAATCTGTAAAATTGGTTTTTCATGTAAGTATCGGCCGATCGCTGATCTCCCAAAATTAAGGAACTCGGGGCCGATAAATCGGTGCACACCTACTGAAGTTCCCAAAAGGTTTTACCCAAGTTATACAGTTTAAAGGTAATTTAACCAAATATTAAGAAAATGTTTTTTTTTAATAACTTTTCTAAGTTTACAAAGTAAAATAAACATTTGCTCTCTCGTTTTTCAGGCATTTAGTAAAGAGAAACCATTTTAGCAATCTAACCTTACCCAAGACAGTTAACATTTTAATGTCAGGCAGTGAGGATGAAAATGGTTGTGCCATTTAATACAGGGAGTGTAAACATCTGGTTTCATCTGCATAACAACAGAGAACATAGATTGAAAAAAGTGATGAACATTTGAATCACATTTTTAAAAATGCCTGGTGAAAAATCCTTAAAGTTAAGTCTTTGTTTCAGTACAAGCACATGATGGTACTCACCTTTTCCTGATCACAGTTTGTGTCGCACAAGGAGCAGGTATGTGGATACACTTTCGGAGGCACAGCATCAAAATCACTTATCATGGTCGGGGTCGGAGAGTTCTTGCTGCTGTCATGAGGTCTTGACTCAGACGAAGAAGACAGAGGTAGTTTTGAAGAACCTTCACTTCTTAGTTTAGATTCCAAGTATCTATAGTCTCTGTTTACATGATAAGATTTGGGTGAAGGTACAAATTTTCTCCCTGGTGGTGAGTGACTCCTGTGTTTGTCTCTGGTCATCCTGCGATAGTCCTCGTCTCGGTGCTTTTCTCTGCCCGTCCTGCGATAGTCCTCTTCATTTAGGCTCAGATCAATGTGCTCCAAAATCGGTCTTTTGTATTTCCCCATCTTTGGGGTTGCTGCAGATGAAGTTGCCGGGTACATCCTAGTTGTACTTGCATTAGAAAGCTGCTCTCTTTTGAAAGTCTTTCTGGTATCGCTGCCGTACTTCTGTTGACTGGCATGACCATAGTCAATAATTTTACCTGCAGTCTGTGTAACGGTCAGAATGCCGGGCACCTCTGAAGAGCGCCGAGACGGCCCGGCCCCATCATCGAGGTTATGAGAAAACATTGAGGAAGTGGAATCCATTTGTTTCTGCATGCCTGATTTCTTGATCTGGATGTTACGAAGTATAAACGGCAAAGTATCTGGAGTTAGCTGATCATCTGGGTAATGACTCAGCACCTCCAAGTCCTCGTTTGAAAGTCCAAAACTAGCCAAAATGCTTCCTGCACTCTCTGGTGTGTACAAGGTTTTACTATCACCCCCACCTCCAGCAGTATGCGACAGTTGGGTCCGGGGCAATGGTGAGTCATGTACAGGAGGTTTCCAGTTTGGTGCACCCGTTTGGCGTTTCTGGTTCTGCAGATGTGTTCCCTGGTGGCCAGCACTTGGTGGAAGGCTGGCAAACAGTTTGGCTGGAGGCTGATAGCTTGACCAGTTCACTCCTTGCTGAAGCCCAGACTGATTATCAGCAGGGAGAGGCATGGGTATGGATCCAAAGTCTCTCTGTTGGCTGATCCCAGAACCTGAGCCTTGGTGCTGATCCATTCTGCCCTGCATTCCAAGGACAGATCCCATCTCACCAGGAAGTTGGTTAGGATAGGGAAACTGGAAATCCATGGGCGGTTGGTTGTTCAGCTGTTGACTTGCAGGAGGTCGGGGAGCGTTTAGAAAAGGCTGCGACCTCTGCTGACGAGGGTGATACATTGCAGCAGATGACCCAGTCCAGTGACTGTAGAACTGGTTCTGTTGGTATGGATGTCTAACTCCTCAGCTGACACTTCCTGTATTGTCAAAAGACTCAGGAGAGCAAGGTGACGAGTCAACACAGCTGCAAGTTCACTTTGGTGAAAATGACCACTGACAACGACAGGCGCTAACGCGGCAATCTGCCGGAGAGCGATCGGAGTCAGAATGTAGAATTGAAAGAGTTGTAGTGCTGCCGCTGCATTCACTGGTCCACAAATGAAACTGGTGTCTCTGGTGAGTCCAAACAAAGGGAAGGAGCAAAGTGTGAATTATTATGTGTGCACACTGAAGCTGAGGTGGACAGCACAGATATACTTTTACAACAAGACCCCAGTTTTCATTTCAAAAGTAGCTTTCATACAGCAGCCAAAAGTGGCCCAAATCACACTTTTTTTTGCCTGTGAGACATAACAGATTTCTTATGACAATTCGAACGTGACAAATCAGATTTCCCCCCCCCAAAATACAACCCAGATCTTTTTCATCCATTATCTTTTACCCGCTTCTTCCATTTTGGGTCACAGGGGTCACTGGTGCCCATGTCCAGCAATTAGGGCTTTAACAGATTACTCGAGTAATCTACACATCGATTCCTAGGACATCTATCGAGTTGTTTAATTTCACATCGAGTATTCGTGGTGACGTCATTACGTTGCCGTTAACGTCATTGCGTCACGTGATCCGCACCAGGCGCAGGTTACAAAATGGATTCCTCCCAGCAGACAGATGGAGCGGAGCAGGCCCAGTCTTGGTAAACAGGTAGAAATGCATCAATAGTCTGGAAATATTTCACTAAAGATGAATCTTCTGGTTCAACTACAGTAAAGAGACAGAAAATGAATCAACTTCCTGACTGTTTGGAGCTCGTTGTGAACCGGTGTTACACCATATTCTGTGACCACCGTATATTGTGACCGTAGGGAGCGGAGTTGCATGCACTGTTGCAGGTCACAAAATATGGTGTAACACCGGGTCCAATGACCGAACCAGAACCAGCTTCCTCTGACCTTGTTTCACAAACAAAAAGCAAAAAATATTAATCTCTAAACCTATTAAAAACCTATAAACATATTAATCTGTAAAACTAAACCTAATGCGCACCGCTGCAGGATGGTCGACACACCACTGTTTTTAGTTTTGTTTTTGACGTGCTGCACGTTTCTTTCAATTTTGTAGCTTAATAATAAAAACTAATAGTTTAGTTTTTCCTGTGACTTATTTGCAGTATGATAAATGGCAGGAGCATAATATATGCTCTTAATGTTTTGTTGGTCTTTTTTGGTAAATAATGACCTTTTTTGCTGTTTTATTTATTTACCTTTGTATCTTTAGATACTATGATGTCATCAAGTACTAGAGTTCTACTCGAGTTTTAATATGTTAATGTCGAGTTTAAAAAGTATGTAGTCGTTCAACCCCTAGCATCCAGGGAGCAGTTTGGGAGTAGGTGTCTTTCTTAAGGATACTAGCGCATGGCGGGGAATCAATCCTGCAACTTTCCGGTCCAAAGTCAGCTACCCTGCCACTGCTCAAGTGCCACAGCCACCCCAATCATAAACCTTCGCCAAATCCACAAAACAGTTGCAAACTGCACAGTCAAACTTTCATGACCCCCTTTTGCAACACTGCAAGGATAAAGACCTGGTCCTCTGTATCATGGTCAGGACAAACGCCACACTACTTCTAATGAACTTGAGTTTCGACAATGGTGTAATATTATTCTAATCCTCAATAAAACTGAATAGACTTGTCAACATGACCGCCCCAAGTTCACTTATGGACCACCCATTACTTAAACATTGTATTTGTTATGGACAGCCACTGCCTAACACAAAAATCCCTCCTCTCCAGATGACTACGCCAATGCAAACATGCAATCTGATGTCACCCAGGAGAACAACAGAATCTCCAGATGAAAGCCTTTCCAGGACACCATCCTGAGACTCCAAGAAGGCTGGACTAGTATTTAGTACACAAGTACAAACAGTTGGTCACAAATAACAGCCCTGCAACTTGAAGCTGCAGAGACCAACCTTCTTGATACTTTGGGAGAATTCCAACAAAGAAGAGCTCAGCTGGGGGACGGGGTTGTGAGTATCCCCACTTTAGTCCAATGCTTCTCTCCCTAGGCAACTCCACAGTAGGAAAACAGACCATCACCTCTAAAGGAGTTGGGCTTTTAGAGCCCAAACAGTGTAAAGCCCCTTTTCCATAGCTCCTCTTCAGCACGACTCAACTCAGTTCGGTACGCCGTTTTCCACTAGCACTTTTTTGTGGAACCGGCACCTTTTTTGGTCCCATCTTCTATGTGGGACCAAGCAAGCCGAGCCGGCACCAAACCGTGACATCAGAACACTGTCAGTCACTGATTGGTCAGGGGGTGGAGTCACTAGAGGGGTTTGAGAATTATTCAAAACCCTCTATCAGCCATTTGCAATTATCGGTGTTCGAACTCGAGGAATGGCTGGACCCATTTAAAAGATTTATAAAACTGTAATGACAACACCGTGGTCTAATGCTGAAGTGCAGGCGTTCTTTGTGCTTGGTGGCTGACGACAAAATTCAGAGCGAGCTAGATGGAGCTCCGCCGGTCTCCCTGGTCCTCTCCACCGGAGCCCCCTCAGGCCGTGCAGGGTGTCATCTCCCCAGCTCCGCCGGTCATGGCAGAAGGTCCTCCGTGCTGCCGGCTCGGGGCTCTGGATCCAGAGCCTTGCCTGCTCTGCAAGCTCCGAGCTCCACTGATCACCGCGGAGGATCATATGAGCTGCTGACTCGCAGAAGGCCGTTGCCCTGACCCCGGCCTCGCCTGCTCATGAAGGCCGAACCTCGATCCCAGCAGACGAGCGGTGATTTTTAAAAACATTTTATGTATTAAAAAAAATCATGAGTTTTTTTTATCAGTGAAGATTAAAATAAATAAACAGTGCTGGCTTTAACATGAAATCCTGTTTTCACTTTAATGACTATTAAATAATCTGTTAAAGTTAACTCAGCTGAAAAATCACAAAAAGACAAAATTATTGGATATCTCAGGAATATTTCCCTCAAATATGTTTAAAGAAGAGCTACGGCCTTTAGTTCCAACTTTATTCTAACCCACAAATGTCAAATAACAAAACAAGAATTAAACTTTAAAGCAAAGCTAAAAAAATTAATATCTATGAACAAAAAACAAAAGCACATATCTAATTGAACAATAAAAGTAGACACAAGTGCAAATACATCAAATGACAAAGAAAAAGTATAAAATTTTAAATATAGATGTTTTTGTAGAATTTGGTCCATCAGAGATTTAATGGTGAACTAAAGTTCACTAAAAGTTCACTAACTATATATGTATATATATATATATATATATATATATATATATATATAT